TGTTCGATTGAGGTGATTCAAGTTGCATTAGAAAGCTAACTCAAAGGGTTACAATTTTATTTCAGATATAATCTTCCAATTCTATCTTTTTTTTATTTCAAAAATGGGCCCCAATATGAGGCTAAAAATGGTGCGCAACTTTTTTCGATTGGGAATGGATGTGTGATCAAAATTTGATGGTATTTCATCTCTTTGACTTCTTTTCTCATCCACTTGACCTTTAACACTTTCGAATCTTCATCATAGGTTAGACACAAGTTTGGAGTATTTGCACTTTAGTTCCCGAACTTTCATTTTCTTCCACTTTTGTCTTTTTCTGCTCTTTTCTTCTATCTTCCACCTTTTCTATCAAAATGCAAATTGAATCAAAACATAGGTATAGTGAGTACATTTTGGTATCAAATAATCATATGAATGAAATAATTAAGAGGGGAAACTATCATATTTTACACTCTTATCACAACCCCAACTTGCTTATTGCTACTCCCTAGCAATTCAATGCAGAACAAGAAAACGAATGATTAGACTATGATACAAGTGATATTATTAAGTTCTAACTTCACCACAATTCATGTTTCTTTTCAAACTCAACACTCCAAGAACTTAACAATGACATGATCATCAAGATATCAAAAACAATTGCCAAATGTGTGAGTGTGTGTCAAGGCATAGCCATCTTACCGCCAATCCTAACACATGCAACATCAAGTATGTCTCAAGTTAAAGGTTCAGCCCCATAACTCACGGGTATCGAAGTGTTTAGTGCAGTTTTCTCTCTATAGAGTTGAGAAAGGGATACACATAATTTGGAGGCTTAAATGTTTCTGAATGAGTAACAAGCAAACATTAATCTTATGATAGGCATACTGTCCAATGAAAATTCATCACTTTCTTACCACAATCATACTTAGGATCCAAACAGTCAATGTAGTTGGTTGTAATGTAGTTTGGGTTAGGCTGTATGAAAAGGAAGATAAAAAGATTTAAGGACTTTCAAGCATGTAACTAGGTATCTCATCAAGCATCTCAATAGATTACATCTTTCGATCAATACACTCTTCAATATTTCAACTCCAAAATCAATCATTTTTTTGTCTTTTTTTATTTTTTTTTATTTTTTAGGGGTGTTTTGCTTGAGTACATACTAACTCTTGTCATTTTCTTGCTTCTATTTTTCACAAATAAGCATTCAATACTTACTACACGCTTGGAAGTAAAAAGTTGGATAAATACATGGATAGACTATACTATAATGTGGAGAAGTATGTATAACATGGGTGTTTGAAGAAAAGGCTATACATGTGTGTATGGCTCATCATGACTACTAGGGGTTGTAATTATTGAAAAAGAAGGCTTGAAAGGCTTATATGTTAATCCTAAATTGACCTTCATCATTTCC